TCGCTACCTGATTGCCTAATCCCAACCCCACCCCTAATCCTAACCCCTCCCCCACACCTACTCCTAAACCTACCAATATTAGGGGGTGCATAATCTGGCAGGGTGCAAATTTCGGCTCTACACTGGATCCGTCACCCCGCTTTATTCCGGGACCTCGCAATTTACAAATGAAACACTGTTCGTAGCGTTATAAATGATAAAGGCTAAATATCTAGGCTACCTGGCTAAAAAAAACAAATAAGGTTTTTTTTAATTTTTTTTTGGATGCACGTGGATGAACATGCCTATCTAATAGATTACACCAGGGGTGCCCAACCCTGTTCCTGGAGATCTACCTTCCTGCAAAGATCACCTAAAACCCTGATCAAACACAACTGGGCACCCCTGGATTACACTATACACTTGGTCGACCAGTGTCTCCCCCACGCTTTCTCTCACAGTAGGCTATAATCTTACCTTTCAGAAGCACGTGTCTGGCTTTAAAACTCATCAGACATCACCAGTAGCAAAAGTCATTCATGTCCGGATAGTTTTATTCATTTTGATGACATTTATGGAAGTAGGCTACATGAGGGTGTTTTGCATGTGATATTGATGCCACTCAGGTGGGGCACAGCATAGGAGCGGCATTACTATGTATGAAGCTAAGTTAATTTACAGTTAGAATAACTAAGGGGTGATAACTTGTTGATATGAGTGCAATAATTCTAAAGAATGCCCAAAAGATAAACTAAAATCTCTGTCCTTTATGCCGCCCTGACTGAGTTCGCCTATATGCATGCGCTGGTCCTGCTTACAACCCACATTTGGTGTGTTTAAGACATTACAGCACTTTTATAAACATTTTTTACTGGTGAGAAGAAACATTTTATTACAGGACTTGGTTTAAAGATGGAAATGTATGCATTTACATTTGATTATAGATTTTATATTAATATAATAATAATATATTAGAATGTTATAATAATATATTTACAGTATTTTTATTTATTACTTTTATGGATGTCCCCACAGTAAGGTTTTATCAGATATAGTTGAATTATGGGAACAGTATTGTTCTGATGTTTGTTTTCTTTCCCTACAGAGAACACCAGCTGAAGAAATCACATTTGAAACACTAAAAAACGCCATCGGTAGGTTGATTTAATGAGAATTGAATTTTTTTCTAAATTGTCCCTGCAGATATTTCCAGAACCTGCATGCAATCGGATGTAATCTGCATGCAATTATTGCTTTGTTAACTTCTCTGTTAGCTGAACGGTGTTAAAGTATGTGTGTATTCTCCAGTGGATAGTGTAGGCGTGGAGGAACAGGAGAAGGAACGCAGGAGACAGGTGGTTGAGAAGTTCCAGAAGGCCCCCTTTGAGGAAATAGCTGCCCACTGTGGTGCCAGAGTAAGTTAACTTGTAGCACTTTTCCTTTTATTTCATGAAAATGTATGCCGTTGTTGTCTTCTCCCACACTGATCAGCTCAATATTGTAATTTAGGGCTAATATTTGTTCTTCTGTTTCCTCCCAGGCTACAATGCTGCAGAGCAAACTTAATCAAATCTTTGAAATCACGATCAGGTGGGTTGCAGCACGGCTCATTTCAAACGTCAGCCGTCTCTCTGAAAGATGTTTGTGCTGATAAATCTTATCCTTTCACTCTTTCTGGCTTGCAGGCCTCCTCCCAGTCCATCTGGAACCATCACATCAAGTTACGGCCAAACCCAGAGTTGCTCTGTCCCCGTTTATGAGATGAAGTTCCCGGACTTGTGCGTTTACTAGTGCAGCTCAACTCAGGATTCAGGAACCTTCAGTAGCAGCCAGAGGTGCAGAGAGCTGGAGGGTTTTAAGTATGAAATTATATTTTGATGTTTTGTAATACAGGAAAACTAAGTGGTCAGCCCTCCTCTATACTATAAACCTCATCGCTGTATTGTCCCCTGTTCCCCTGTCTGCAAGGTGACTGTAGACAGTTCACCCATTGAACTACTACTGAAAGGATTTTGAACATTTGGATTCCTGATTTAGGTTCAGTACGCGTTCAGTTTTCCGTATTTACAAATATTTTCCACATATTCGTTAATACTCTGCATTTCTATTATAAAATCAGCTAACATAAATATGCATTTGCAGCAAAACTCCAAATGAACAGAGGTTCAAAAGAAAGAAATAATATATTTTGAATAAACAAAACTTTCCTAACTTCAGTACCATTAAGATTTTTTTTACATTGTGACATTATTTTCATGACAATCAAACATAAAAATAGTTAAATTGTAAATTATTTACACATTAGGAATTGTTGTCTTTAATTATGCTTATTGTAATGCTGATTTCACTTAAAATCATTGCATTACAGTTATTGTTTATTGTAATATAATAAAACTACACGAATTGCACATTTTTTACAGTACAAATTACAAAATTAAATTAATATTAAATTAAAAAAACGTATTACAGTATTAAGACTTTGAGGATAGTTTTGAATTGTCATAAAAATAATGTGATAATGTCAAAAAAAATAATGCTCATAAATAGGTTTCATGTTAATATGGTCATTAATTTGACCATATTTGTGTTAGTCACCTTTATTCTTTTTAAAGTGGAGTTTCATAGTTCTATATTGAGAAAAAGGGGAAACTGTCATCTCATACATTTTGACAAATCAAACAATTTACCTTTGTACCGTAAGTGCAATCAGTATCAATGAAGCTCATTTGTTGCACAAAATATCTCTCAAACGATTTTCACTTGGTGCTAATTTCTGTTCCTAGTAGTTTGAGTCTTTAGTAAATGAACTTTTTATTGGTAGTTTATGTTTATCACAGCAATCTGCATTCTGTAGATATCTGGCGTTCAGATCACTGGAGGTGATGTCTGTCTTCTGCTTGTGTTTACGTTGTAAGCACAGTTGTTTCTAATTGGTGTTAAGGAGCTCCAGTGCTGAAGGAACTATTTAATTAGCACTTTTTAAATTTATCTAACAATACTCATTTTCTTAGCGTCTGTAGCCTGCTACGTTGTGCTTATTTTTGAGTGCTTCCGCACAGTCTTGTGGCATCAGACAATTTTTTTAATTTTTATTTTGTAAGCACAAGTATAATTTTTTTATTGCGTATATAAGGTTACGTACAAGATTTATAAATATATGTAAATAATGTTTTATTTGTTTTAGATTGCTCTGGTTTAGCTCAGTGTGTATGTGTGTGCATTTAAGCAGCATGATGTCTCCATTTTAAAAGAGTTTGCGAAACTCATAATGGCAGATTTGTTTTTGTGATTGACTGCTAGCTTCAGGGTTCAGAGACAAATGAAGAAAAAACTGTCCATCAGGAACAGCAGCATTGCCGTACATCACACTCCTGGTCAAACGTTTTGTTTTTTTTAAAGTCCCAGTTGTGTCGTTTGAATTACATGATGCTCTACAAATATTCCAGATCATGCAGAGACTGGTATTTCAGTGCTGATCTGTGTCTCTACATACAGTAGAATATTTAAAGGATAATATACAGCCGGGGGTTTTTTGCCGTTTTGACCATCTGACTGTACATTATCCTGCTTAGTACACGGCTGCTTACCAAATAAATAAATATATGGACATAACACTTTAATCTTATGTTGAAATTATTCATCTTATTTGTCGATTAGCTTGCCTGTGTATCTGCTAAGCAAAATAGTCCATTATAGCATAGAAAACAGTCTGCATATAGCAACAAGACAAGCAGTGCAACAATATTACAATATTAATTTATATATTATTTTAAATCTGCAATCCAAGTTATTTTTTGTTTTGGACTAGTTAGCTAACATTTAACAAGTCTTCCACTATTTTAATTTGTGTCTCATCCAGCTCATTGTTCTTCCAATTTTTTTAAATTCATTTTCTTGCTTAAACTGGAGGCTCCTTCTAAGCTACCTTCTATCGAGTGTTTTAAAAAAGAAAGAGATTTTAAAAAATCATGTTATGGTCAGATAGGCAGTTTTAGTGCATTATGAAAAATTGGCCAATACTCAAGAACCTATTGTAGAGACCTGTTAATAAATTAAGAATAATAATTATATTTTTCATCATTTGATGAAAAACTTCAAGCCTTTTTTTTTGGGCTTTTATATTGAGGTGGTGTAAATGGTGAGATTTATTTGTTCATGTTCGGCTAACAGACATTTATGTTTTATCATTTTTTTGTGTGGAATGTTTTTGTATGGCTGTGGATTTTTACAGTGCCATGAACTGAACTGCTTTGCTTTTACTAGAAGATTCATGCAACTATTATTTATGCCATCAGTTGGTGACTGCATACAGTATATGTTTTAAGTGTTACTTTACATGTTTTTTAAGACCATATAACAGGAGGCCAAGTATGACAGCAGATTAAATAAATATTCATTTGTATTACACAGATAGAGCATAGATACCAACGATAGCGATCCAACGAAAATTACCAGATACCTAAACAGTAAATGCTATAATGCCTGTAGTCAGTAGTGTCTTTATCACAGAAGTAGTAGACAGTTGCTGTTCTCAGTATTATTAGTATTAAATGCATTTGCTATTTAAATCTAATTATTCCCTTGAAATGAATCTGAAGTATAGCTCTTGCCCCGATAATATGACTGATATAAATGCTCAGTAGTTCTGTAAATGCATCTCACATTTCGTCAGCATTGTAGTTCAGTAATGAATTTAATGTTTGCGAGAATTAATTTCATTCATTTCTGGGCTGTGACATGTCAAAGTTAGTTATTAATTATAACCTCTCTGCAATTCAAGTGTCATTCAAGCTGGCGTCTTGAAATGGAGAGCTCTGTTCATGTGTAGCATTGATGAATTATCAATCACAGTGTCTCCATTTCTTTTTCTAAGTTACGTTCTGTCTGGATGAAAGTTTTCCCCATGATTTGTTTGTGCTTAAACTGCAAATAGACAATAAAACATTTTCGATACAACGCGGTGTGCACATTTGACATGTTTGCCACAAAACTCTAAAAGCTTTGAAATGGGACAGTTTTTTAGACTGTTTTTAATGTATAAAGTTAGGGGTGCTGAAACAATCCAGAGGACAATTTTGTTGCTCAAAGGTTTCGTTTAGCAGAATTGATCAGATGATTTGGTCTTGGAAGAGTTTAATGATAAATTTTTGAGCTTGTAACGAGATCTTTGACTTTCTTTTGATTGCAGACAGGCAAATTCCCAATTCCCAATTGTTTTTTTTTTTTTCAGGAGAAACATCTGAGAAGCAGAACGTTTAAGCAAAAGTCTCTATTTGCTGTCCAGACAATATCATTTTTAAGAAAATATCTCATTTGTGGTTTTTTTTCTCTACCTTTTTTTTTCCTTGGAAAATTCTCTTTAATTGAAATTGTATTTATTGAAATACTAAATATAGAATTTTTAGAATACTCCAGTTATTTTTGCTGGTCTTTGGTATAAATGCTCAGATACCAAAAGCCAAGAATTACTTTATGCTATGGCCAGTATTATAAATGTATTATTAAGTTATTATAAAATTATATGGTTCTGCTTGTTTTTCCTTTTAGCTCCAGATTTAAAAATGCAGTAAAAATTAAAGACCGAGTTTCTTTTTGCTTTCTTCTGTTAAAAGAAGATATTTTGAGGAATGTTGGTAACCAAACAGTTGTCGGTAGCCATTGACTTTTGTGCAATGACCATAGTATAAAAAAAAAATCTATCGAAGACAATGGTTAACATCAACTGTTTGGTTACCAACATTATTTAAAATATCTTCGTTCGGGTTCAGCTGAAAAAAGAAACTCACACAGGTTTGGAAATTAAATAATGACAGAATTTTCACTTTTGTGTGAACTTTTATCTGCTTCCAACATGAATAAATTCAGATCAGTCCACAAACGGGCAATTGTTGGACTCAAGGATAAACCCAGCATCCAAACACAGAAATCCACAGCTGGCAACATTGCAAATTCATTTTAATGTATTTCATGTACAGAATATTACAGTAAAACTATCTCAGGTAGACAAATACCTGGCATTTCTGAATATGCTTACTTTTTCAATCCCAGAGGTGATAGTTATTGTGTCAAGTATATAAATGAATTGTAAATGTCACATGTGATATATCCTGACTTTTACATATAAGCGATTTGGCTAGTTTGTTTCTCTTCATTAATTTTTTTCTACATCGGACAATGTTTCATGCCCTGTCTTTTTGGTTCAGCAAGTTTATTTTTTATTTTTTATAATTAAGGTTACATGTTACACATTTAAATGTTTTGACACCAAAAATTCTGTCCATTCTCTCCTCTCTTAATCTCTGAACTGCTGTGCGTCTTTAACAATGACGTTTCGTATGAGCAGGGGCTTATGGGATTGATCCGAATACGGCCTCAAGAAGCCTCCGTAGCGCTTGTCAGGTGGGGTGTTCCAGCGGAAATGGGTCATGCGATACTTCCCGTTGCTCTTTGCGTTGTTCCTCTGCTGAACGTCCAGCGTGCCGTTCTGCCCTCGTTCCACGCGGACGCTTTCCGCCGACTCCTCGGGCTCCTCCTCCTCCAGGGCGCCGCTGGTCAAGACTTTGACGGGTCGGCGTTTGCGGCCCATGGGTTTGCCCCAGCGGAAGTGCTCCATGGAGTAAGACCTCCTCTCGTCGTTGTGAGGGGCTTCTCCAGTAGCGTCTCTGAGCTCGGTTGAATCAGGAGACAGAGCCGATAAGAGCAAACTCAGGCTCTCTTCTTCACTGTTCTGCTGTTCAGATGAAGAAGCTCTCCCGTAATTGGAGGATTCTTGCGCTGATCTGCACTGCCTGATACACTGCTGTACAGTCAGGACAGAGAACGAGAGAGGATGCAGATGCTGTTCATGAATGCAGCTTTCATTAACAACCGTTATTACATTGTACAAAGCTTAACAGATCATTTGTTTATGGTGCATTCAGATTTGATATGGTGTATTCATTACACCATAATTGGGTGAATCTCATAACAATTGCAATTATAAACAAAAGAAAGACAAATTGGTATTTCAATATTGAAATATTTATACATTTGTGGTATTAATGTACACCTTTTATACTAATTTATCTTAAATGTAGTAATGTACTTTTTTTTTTTTTTTACCATAATTTATTATTATTTTTTAAATGTGCTTAATTATCTTAGGAAATAATGTCTTAATGCTACTAAAAACATTTTTCTTCATTTTATGTGTGCAAAATATTATTTCTTTTTTTATTGCTTTTTAATTAGATTTTAATGTCATCAAATTATTTTTTTTTTTGTGGTCTGTTTGATTGCTAATTATATAAATGTGTCTACATATGACTGCAAAGACAAAACACTATAATAACTTACTACCATTCAAAAGTTTGAGGTAAGATTTTTTTGAAGAAATTAATACATTTATTCAACAAGCATGCATTAAATTGCTAAAATTGACAGTAAATACATTTATAATGTTACAAAAGATTTCTGTTTAATATAATTTTTTCTTTTAAACTTTCTACTCCTCATAGATCCCTAAAAATAAAATTCTATCACAGTTTCCACAAAAATATTAAGCAGCACAACTGTTGTCAACATAATATTTCTTGAGCACCAAATCAGCAAATAAGAATATTTTTTTTGAAGGATCATGTGTCTATATTTAAGGACTGTATTTTAAACTTGTAAAATTGTAATGATATTTTCTGATATGTATTTTAAGCTTTGGTGAGCATTAGAAACTTCTTTCAGCCGACCTCAAACTTTTAAATGGTAGTGTGCATGAGTTTAATCTTTTATATTATCTATTAAGTCATGTTATTATTGCCTTAAAATGAATCTTACCAGTTTTTGTTCATTAGTTTTAAGGCCCATGCAGTCTATCAAATCCAAGCAGCGGCCATCTGCATATGGACTGTGAAAACACAAGACTGCTGCAGCCAAAAGCCAGGAAGGACCGAGCATCTGAAAACAAGAAACAAGACCAGATCAGTTCTTCCGTCCCTCAGGTATCATATGTATGACTCAGAATGGAAAGCTGAAAAGAAAACGGCTGATACTGAGCTATATATAAAGTCAAGGACGAGTTTTATTGCTCAGGTATTTTACTTGATTTGATTGCGCTGAATGGATCAGAGTCACTCGGAGTGTCCTCACACAATGACGGCGTGTGGGCAGGTCATGTACGGTTACGAGAAACGGATGTCTCTTTAAAAAGCTTCTTTATATTAGGGCACGTATATTTAATCATTCTGTAATTGGTGACTTTGACTCTTTAGGATGCTTATAAGAAAGAAGGGAAGTGAACTTTGAGACTTTTATCTACTCTCTTCATTCCTTCGTACGTGACCTTTTATGGTTTTTCTGATGATGTCATGACACACACAGATCTGTGAGGTCCATTAATATCACAGCACGACGTCAGCCGCAGTGTTACGTCAGTGATGAAAGGAAAAGCGCTGAAATAAATCAGCTGCAGTTAACAGACTCTATAGTCTTGCAGGTTTGAGACTCGTTAGTAAGATTGTCCATGAAAGTCCACAGAAATAGTTTTTTGCTATGGATGATGATGATGACTCAGTAACTCAGAATTAGTCAAAAGCCTCTGATGATCCTGTTAGATATTACACCATTTCACAGGGGGAAAAAAGGTCTATTCATATATTATTCTTTATAAATCAGACCAAGTGGATCAAGTTATAGAAATATTTTTTTTTCATTCATTATTGGATATTGTTTGATGATTTCACTATGATCTTGAATATCAAATTAATTATATTTATAATATAATCGTTTTCTTATAATATAGAATAATGCACATTATTATAGAACCCATACATAAACATATGCATTTAAATATGAGAAAATATATACAAAATATGTACTTAAAAATACAAAGTATACATACAAACATACAAAATGTTTTATTTTAAATTCAACAAATTGATTTAAGCATTAAGTAATGGTAAATAATTATTACAATTAATTGTAAATAATAGTAATTTAAATATGAAATTTAAATACAACATATTTATATTTGATCATTTAAAATAATATTAATAATAAAAACAAAAATCATCATTTAAAATCTATTATTTCACGTATTAGAGTTTTTAGATCAGATTTTTTAAAGATCCTTCTCAAATTAATTTTAATAAATTCAAATAAATAAAAACTTTTATAAGTTTAAAAATACAAATGTATATGTTTTGTTTAAAATACAACAAAAATATGTAATTAATTAAAAATGAAATAATTACAATAGTAATAATAATTAGTATTAATAATAATCATGATTGAAATCGATTATTTAAATTATTTATTAATTTAAATAATAGACAATAAATAAAATGTATTTATTTTCAATGTAATTCAATGAGGAAGTTTATAAAGCTATAGCTTTGCTTACCATAAAATGTATAGTTATAATACATAATAGTAATGAAGTTGTTTCCAATAAAATAAGTAATTTTCAAGCTAATCAATATCTATAGTTTTTGTCTTTAATTCTGAAGTTGAATTCTGAGTCATGCATGCCATTTAATTAACTTTGTAATGTTTAATTTTAAAATTTGCATTGTTTTTTAATGTTTTATATATATATATATATATATAATTGACACATTTGTGACACTGTTGATAAATGAAGCTTTATAACCAGATACAGTACTAACCAGTGATTCAATGGTTCAAATGCAAAATGATTCAAATTCTATATTCTTACCTTTCTGAATTTATAGATGAGTTCTATGGTTCTGAATCTCCTCGTTTGACTCTCTTTGGGTCTCCAGCTCTTATCAAGCTCACCTCCACTGCTCTGGGTTTGCACTTTTTTTTCCTGGCGTGTGTGAATGGATCTCTCTCTCTCTCTCTCTTATTTTCTGAATGAGCTCTGCTCTCTTATATACTCACAGGTGCGTGGCAACCCCTCAAGGCTGGAAGATGATCAGGTGGGTCTCTGCTGAGGTGGGGAGGGGTGGATACATTGGGGAAATTACTAATAAAAAACAAACTGTTCATACTTTTTGGTCATCTTCACACCTCTGTTTTTGACACATTAAAACAACCACAGGACGCGGCAGGTGAATTATGGATCGGATGCTGCGGTTCTCTTACTCGTCTTTTGAGACACCTGGGAACTAAATAAAAAAATTAACTCAGGAAACTGAGGTGGAATTACGTAATTTCACATCACATATTCCCTGTCAATTGGAACAACATACAAGCGGCGTGCAAATCGATCAGACTGACCAGATGTGCATTAGCTTAAGTGCTTAGCTCAAGCTGAACAATTATTCTAACTTAGTTTCGCTTCTCTTTGTTTCTTCTTTTCTTAATGAAGCCCATTTATGCCCCAAGGTTCATCAGCAGCAAATGTAACTAACAACGGAGGAAAGCTAATGTTGTGTTGTCATGGTAAATTGTGATAAATCAATTACTCTTTTTTTTTTTTCACTCTTACTCACATTAATACAATGAAAAAGAAGAAAAGAGTGACTTTAATTCTCAGTCATTCAGGAAGAAAAAACACTTGAGACTCGAAAGTGATTAAAAACAGCATCATAGTTGCTCAAGGTCTGGTGATGCTCTTACATTTGAAGTGATTATAAAGAGCTTTTGTAACACAAATGTAACAGTGTCAATTGTAAATATAATGGCTTGCATGTATCAGCAGCAACTAAAACCATAAAAACATTTTCATTGCTTGTAACAAAATAAACTAACTAAAATAAAATAATAAATATGAAAAACTTTATTTCAGCTAGTTTTCAAGGCAACATTTCTCATTTTGTTTTATTTAAGTTGAAGTACGAATATAACTAAAACTAATAAATAAAAAATTATAAAAACAAATAAAAAATAATAATAAAAGCATTTAAAAAAAAAGAAAGGATACACAACAAAATTACTGAAGCTTTAAATAAAAAGAAAATTAAAAAGAAAATATATAAATAAAATGTCATTAAAATCATTAACAAAAATTATAGCATTTTCATTGCTTGTAACAAAATAAACTAACTAAAATAAAATAATAAATATGAAAAACTTTATTTCAGCTAGTTTTCAAGGCAACATTTCTCATTTTGTTTTATTTAAGTTGAAGTACGAATATAACTAAAACTAATAAATAAAAAATTATAAAAACAAATAAAAAATAATAATAAAAGCATTTAAAAAAAAAGAAAGGATACACAACAAAATTACTGAAGCTTTAAATAAAAAGAAAATTAAAAAGAAAATATATAAATAAAATGTCGTTAAAATCATTAACAAAAATTATAGCTACCAATGACACTAAAATATCACTGGCATGTAGAGAATTCTTATATATATATATATATATATATAATATACAAGACCTTCCAATAGTCAAAAGCTTATGTGCAGGTTTAGACCTTTGGAATTAGAAATATTTTGTTTAAAAAAAAAAAAAATTAGAAAGGAGACAAAGGTCAAAAACCAACAATAGGACAGCAGAAATTCTGTGCCGTTCATACACTCTTTAAAATAAATGTACTTTATTGGTATCTGGTTCCATGAACAATCCTTTTAACTTCCATGGAATCTTTTCATTCCACAAAAGATTCGTTATAGTGAAAAAAGGTTATTTAGATTATTAAATGTTCTTCACACTAAGAAAAAAAATGGTTCTTTTAAGAACTGTTCACTGAAAGGTTCTTTGGGAAAGCAAAAATGGTTCTTCTATGCCTACAGTATAGCATCACTGCAAAGAATCCTTTTAGAAACTTTATTGTTATAGCATATAGCTGAAACTGTATAGCATGGTGCTTGCAACAGCAAAGTTGGGTTCGATTCCTTGAGAATGCATTGCACTGATAAAATGCAATAATTTACTTTGGATAAGCAGATGTTGCCCTTTAACTGAACTGTAGCAGATGTGCCGATGCTGCAGTGATTATATTTGGGTTCTTGTCAAAAGCAGTCGCTCACCTCGGGTCATGACAAGATCAGAATAATTAGTTAACAGGATCTCAAATGTCTCTCTCTGGAGAAGCACAGCCTCTAGAGTGCCGTACAAACACAACAAACATATATTTTGACTGTGTACATATTTGATAATGTCGAGTTATTTTGGAAGTTCACACATCAATACTGCCTTTAACTCGAAAAAGAGCTCCGTCAACCACGGACACAAGGATCAACTCAAAAAATGGCTTTTACTTTGCATCTTCAATAAACTTTCTACAATCGTGGTTGATTTGCAGTGTGTTGATTTCCATTCAATTTCATAACTGATTAAAGCAGTTTTCCAACAGATGATAGTTTGATTGAAGTTAGATGGTGAACTTGAAACAGTAGTTTGCCATTTCAATAGCAAAAAGCTCAGCTTAAGTTCAAATAGATTCAGATTAGGTTGATAACCTTTAAAGGGGTCATATGATGCTGCTAAAAAGAACATTATTTTGTGTATTCGGTGTAATGAAATGTGTTTATGCACCAAGAGCTTGTAACACTCTAAAGAGAAAGGAAAAAATGAAATCGCATCATATGACCCCTTTAAGAGAAAATAACAACAAAATAAAATACTTAATTATAATCAAACATTTGACATCCTATGCATTAACAGGTCTACACAATATGCACACTCTTAACAAACTGCAGCAAAAATATGCATTTTTGAAAATTTGAATGGATGAAATTCTGGCAGCTTGTAAATCAATGAGATCTTTCTAATAGTATGGCAGACTGCTTACATAAAATGCACATAAATATCAGTTGTCACTCTATATCTCCCAATAATAAGTCTTAGTAATATGATATTTAAATGCTTAGTTTAATAATCAAAGCTCTGTAGTTTTTATTGTGGGGGCCGAACATATAATATAATGCAATACAATGATTGAGAGATGAACGAAGCAAAGTTTGTATCATGTTGATCGAAGGCCAAACAAAGTAGTTTCACATGGCGGGCTAGAGTGAGCGGCGGCGGGCGGCTAGAGTGAGCGGAGGCCGGCGGGCCTGAGTGAGCGGCAGCGGGCGGGATCTTCTTTATGCACCAAGAGCTTGTAACACTTCAAAGAGAAAGGAAAAATTGAAATTCGCATCATATGACCCCTTTAAAGGATATTTTCTCAAATATGATACAGTACGCTTTTTCTGACACAAACATAATTTGGTGCACTAACTGTGTGATTGTTCAGACATGTACTGTAAGGATAGTCTGAGTGGCTGTAGTTGAGCGCCTGGATTGTCTCCCCTCTCTTTCTTCTAATCAGGAATCCAATTATAGAGGATTACAAGGATAAGATGCTCACTGTATCAGCCATCCTGCAACACATAAGGTGTAGAAAGAGAGAGCGAGGATGGCAGCATAGGTCTGTATTTCCCCAGAAGACAAACACGACGTCTTCGACCACTGAACCAGGTAAAGATGAAGCATTGTTGTCACCGTTTCCCTGTAGAGCTTACTTGCTGATGACATCTAATGGGAAATGTTACCGCTGCACGTAACAGTGTAACAGCAGTGCGTCAACAGCTTTGTAAATAGTTTGGGAAATCTCTCATGTGAGATGGTGTGATGCATGAGGTGTGGAGTAATGGGTAAATCAAACGGCTTCCAAACAAACAGATGTATTCTCTGCGTTCACACTTCTAATCAAAATGTCACTTCCAAGATGTAGGATGCTTTATCAATATGATTGATTCTCAGTGTTATTCTTTTATTCGTGCTGCAGGACACGAGGCCCTCAGGCTCTCTGTAATGTGGTTTGGCATATTTAGCATTTCTCTGTTGAATCTAGTGCACTAGGCTTGGATCAGAGACACGAGGTGCTTTGGCAGACGTGATACTTCAGCATTAAAAGGTCTGCTCAAGGTGTTGGCAAAGTATGGGTCAGATCAAGGCATTGATCTGCATGTTTTTCCTCCTGAGTTCACCTGCTGAAATAGATTGACAGGAGAGATGGAATACATGAAAATGCATTGGTTTTGTTTCTGCATGCAGACTATATATGACTGAAACAAAGTGTGTTATTTCCAACAATGTGTATAATTTTGCATAGACAGTTGCCCTGTAATGTATTTGTATACTTAAAGCCACACAAAAATGTTATTGCAAATATAACAAATATATATATTACAATGTATGCAATTAATCGTGATCAATCGATTTGACAGCCCCATTTTATCTGTGTGTGTATTTATATATACATATAAATATACACATTACACATATATTATGTAAACACAAATTGTTATTGTGGATGCAATTAATCGTGATCAATCGATTTGACAGCCCCATTTTATTTGAATAATGCTTTATTTATACATTAAACAAATGTTAATGTACTAATAATTTGTAATATATGTGTATTTACTACCATTAATAATCATTTAATCATTTTATTTGTTATATATGTGTGTGCACAGCATCATTTTCTATTTACATTTTGCTTTCAGTTTGATTTTGTAATCTAATGCAATAAATGCAGACATTTTAGGTGTGACTTTGGTGTCCAAATACTTTGTTGGGTGCATTGCACATTCAAGCTGTTTCAATGAGGTTTTAATGTATTTCCTGAATAAATGTGCCCAGATAAGGATGTTCCTGTCTGAAACACGACACTGACTATTTTTAGCATGCCCATCCTCTTCCAGGTTAAATGCTTTCACTGCTGCCGTGTTCTTGAACCTACATAAGCACATAGAAAAGTGACACGGGCCACCAAAGCACCTTAACCTGTGCCTTAATCAGGACAACCAGGCTGACCTCTAATAAGAGCAGGGACATGCCTAAAGATGTGTTTGTGGGATTTATTTCAAATATCACATTGAGGTTTTATGACAGATCATGTTATTTTCCCCTTAAGCCTAAACCCAAGAGAGCATCTTCAGTACAGTGTGGTTTTTGACAGCTGACCTATAGTTCTCTGACACGAGTGCACTGAAATGTCACACCATCGAGTGCTTGAAATAAATGACCTACTGTTATTATCATAGACCACGAACAATCTCGCCGAACTTTTTCGAGTGACGTCATAACTGGGTGTGGGTTGCATAATTGAATGCTTCAGATCCTTAGCTTATAACCTAGTTATATTTCTTTGAGCCCCACAAGTGGTGATTCACTGTGATTCATCTTTGAGCAAAGCACTTGAATAGGAAAGTTTGAAAAAGAACAAGAAAGTGGCTGCTAAATAATAATTAGATTTTTTACATTCAGAAGAAAATGTAAGTGGAACTTGCACATAGACTTGCTGCCATGATGTCAAAGTTGGCCTAATAATTTTTCCATGATTTTTCATGTCTCTGTGATATTCTTGTGTCTTTACCTTTATTGATCCAACAAGCAATCAATATTGATCCATAAGCAAATGAATAAATACATAAATTCTAATAAAATAGGATAATATAAATAATTATAAAATAATAAAAGAAAATAATATAAATAATAAGTAGTATATTTACGTAAGTAAACAAATGTAAAAACTGTAAATATCTAAATAAATAATACATTCGAATAAAATATATTTAAACAATCATGAAATAACTAAGTAAATAAGACATTTTAAAGATATATATCTAAATAAATTAATAATAAATCAATTCTAATAAAATATGATAGAAAAATAAACATGAAATAAATAATTAGTATATTCATACTATATATAAATATGACATTTTAAAGATATAA